AAGTACGGCAACACCAAGTGTATCTGTCACGTATGCTCATATGAACGACCTCACCTAACAGTCGGCAGGTACCCAGGGGCAACGCACTTATTCTTCCCTTAGACTATTTCAAAGCGTAGAACTGCTGGGACAAGGGAAACAGTGTGACACAAAACTTTTCTGTAGAGTAATTAAGCAATTATTAAGTTTTATATAATAATATGTATTGGTCTCTTGAGAGAGAAAGTAACAAATAATATCCAAAACTTAGGTAGTGTTTACTGTGCGGCAGGCTCTATTCCAAGCAACTTCCATAAACTGACTTATTTAAACCTTGCAAAAGCCTTGTAAGACAAGAATCATTACTATCAGCAGCAACAGGCGTTCTCACACTGATACAATTGGCATAACTATAGGCTGACTTTATCAGTGAGCTCCATCTTTTATTAGCCATGGAGATTTGTGCATCCACATGCTTTTATTATCCTGCAACAAGAAAGTGCAGACTTTTACTACTGGTTTGCAAAAGCTCTTTACATATTGACTATTAAGCTCACAAGAACATAATAAGCTGTATTTTTTTCTCACTGTCTCTGAACCTTGCTTATGGAGACTGTGTTTTTCGTGGTACTTGGGATGGACCCCAGGCCCTTGCACATTTCAGGTGAGCACTGTAATCACTAAGCTACATGCCCAGCCTCACCAGAGAGTTTTCTTTTAAATCTGCCAATATTTTCTCTAAGACTTCTGTCTTGGTTTTAAGACAAGAATGGATTAACTCAGTAGTTTTTCAAAGGCTTTGGTCTGCAAATGTGCTCTTCCAATAAACCCTCCAAGGGTAGCTGACAGGTGAAACAGCAAGCACCGAGCAGCTCTGGGTGGCAACCCCTGCCTGCTCCAGACAGCCTGGGGGCTTCTTGGGGAAGGTCGGAGCATGGATGGGGCAACCACCCGGTGCCTCACACCGGCTGGGCAACTCCCCAGCCCAGCCCAGGACTGGTAAGCGTTCCCAGTCCTTCAACCACACACAGCACCTGACAGGGCCTGAGGAAGCCAAAATGACTTCGCAGACCCCTCACAACATAATACTAACCCTGACACCTCCAGGGACCATCAACACCACACCGTACCCGAAAAACATCCCGAACTATCTCCTAGAGAGGCTGAGCTCACCCCAACACCTGGACAGCACCTCACGTCCACATCAAGACCAGCCCTGGCCCAGAAGCAGAGCAGAGCAGAGGGGAATCAGCTTTTGGGACTTGACACAGCAAGGGGGAGCCGGGCACTCCATTCATATTCCCTCTCAAACAGGCACAGCAGCACCCACCTCTCAGGGCTGGGCTGCAGGGAGGAGGACTGAGGTCTAGACAGCAAGTGTGTAAAACAGCATGTGGCCCTGATCAGGCACTCGCTCACGAAACACTAGCTACTAGTTTACGTGACAGTTGCTTGCACACTGTATCATAATCTCCCTGCTCCAAGAAAGGCTTTCTGATTTCCACAGGGGCTGACCCAGGGTGCCGACCTGGCCCACAGCTGTGGGACAAGGTCTCTGTGGAGGCAGCCTGTGTGCCCCTGGAGAGGCCTTCCAGGCATTGGAGAAGTAGCCCAGCAAGCAGTCTGCAGCGAGGCCCTGAGTGGCTGCAGCAACCCCAGCCTCTGTTCTGCCCCCAGTAGGACCTACACTCTCACTCACACTCCAAGGAGGAAAGCTGATTCCAGAAGGGCCCCTAGCTGGCGCTGGCTGGCCCTGTAAGATTGAGTCCAGGTCTGTCCAAATGCTGCAACACTGCGACCTAGGCCTCCCATGACTTCAATGCCAGATGCTATGCCCTCCTGTAAGCAGGAGGCCGAACGCCCAGAGCCCACTGCACCACAGGGCACATGCTGGCCACCCAAGGGCAAAACAAAACCCCTTCAAAATCTACCTTGCCCGATCCCTGGCACAAGACAGACTAGGGCCAGCCCCAAAGGGGCAGGGACTGGTTAGTGGCTACAGTGGCAGGGGCTCAAAGCGTGGGCCTTCTCCCCAGCCAGTCAGCGGCTGTCCCAGGACCCTGAGCCTCGCCACAGCCTGTCGCCCGCCGGCCACCTCCCAGCAGCGGCAGTTGTCTCTCATTTTCTGCATCTCCCTTGCTCACGCCATCAGGTATTAATGCATTACTCATGGCAGCTTTGGAGCTCTGAAAGCCCAGCCGTTTCCAATAGAGAACGGTACGGATGAGTTCTACAGGAGTGATGAAATTTCTCTTCTGCTCTGGCAATTAGAAAGGCACAAAGTCGCCTTTCCTTTGGTGCCACCCCCAACATCAAAGGATCGGAATTCAAAGCCATTCATGCTGCATTGAAACCTCACAATGAAGCTGGAAAATGGAAGTCGATTACTGGGCATAAATATGCAGTAGTTAGAAGGAAAGAGTTATAATGAAATTAAACTGCAGCAGTTCCACAATGTGTGGAAACTTCCAGCACCAGAGTCCTGCTGGCAGAGGAGGGGCATCTCCTAAAGCAGGTTTCTGACCACTCAAAGCCAAACACGATGGCTTGAACTGCACATGCTGCCTGCTCCATCTCCTGCAGTAACAAGCCCCCGGCCTCTGGGAACCTGCTGTCCAGAGCTTTTCACAGGGAGCTTTTACTTTGCAAGGCTGTGAGGCTGCTGATCACAGAACGTGCTGTCGGGGCCACTTCAGTCACATATGTCTTTGGTGCCTAGGCCTTCCAGGCCTCTGTGCAGTCCACGGTCATCTTGCCTCTGCCCCTGTCCTGGTCTCCCCAGGGGCACTCGCTACCAGCTCCCTTTGCAGGAGAAAGCAAGAACCCTAAAGAGGGCACTGTTACATCTGCCTGCCAAGCAAATCCTGCCTTTTCTGATTGATTACTGCTCTCTTTGGAAAGGTATTTGATCTTTTAAAAAAAGCCCAGAGCAAAGAAAGCTATAGAAGTCTCACAATGTGTCAGGGTGTGTGTTTTTAAGGCATGAAAATACTTCCTCCCACACAAACGAGAGTTCTTCTGGGGAAAGATGCCACGGATCCCGGGGAGTAGAATATCCGGGAAAGCTGATCAGTCTTAAAAATAGACAGCTGAACACAGACCAGAATTCACAGGGCTACCTGGAAAAAAAATTACATCTCACATATTTTTGATACCCTAAACTCCATTCCGCTGAAACTTCTAACTGGGTGGCATTTTGCATTTCCAATTATAATAGAGTAATTGTGTTGCCATAGTGACTGCCAAATTCTGCAATAACTTTTGTTGCCTTGTAACTGCTGTAGTGTATATTTGCTTACAAGCAGCTGAGTTTTTTAATTCGACCTCCCTCCCTCCACCCCTCTATTCCTCCCTCCCTCCCCAACCACCAGCAGCAGCAGCACCACCTCTCCGTGCTGGACTCTGAAACCACCGCACCAGCTTTCATTAGGCCGCCCCTGAATAATGCACGGAATTATCAGAAGCAATTAAAACTCCAGGCAACCACGATCATATTACCCAAGAAAAAGCGAAACCAGGTCAAGGTGCAAGCCGCCAGCATCCCCCCAGACCCGCCGGGGCGCAGGGCCAGGGCTGTTTACAGGTTTACTCCCAGGCCTTAAAAGCTTAGGTGGTTTGTGGGAACGGGCGAAAAGCCTGAGTAGAGAAAAGCGGGCAGGCGAAGTGACTACAGGCCTTTCCTCCCTCCCGTGCAGGCGCTCTGCTCTCAGCAAGCAATTAGGTAGGTCTCTACAGTAATGCAATTAGGATTTAGTTAAGAAAGTCATTAGTTCTAAAATAACTTAAGTTTAATTTCTGCAACGCTTTATTTGAAAATTGTGTCACAGCAGGTCAATTTACAGCATGCAATAAAGAAAACACTCCCTATCAGCTGCTGCAAGTTATTACAGATTTTCGATGTGCATTAAATGAGTGCACTGATTCCACCCCCGGCCTTTCCGACGGATACGCGCGATCTCCAGCTACAACAGTGTCACCCAATTCCGCGTTCAAGGTAAACACCGGGTCGCGGGCGCGGGGCTGGCGGCATCTCCGCAAGGCCGGGTCGCGGTCCTGCCGCCCGGCAGCACCGGGCCGGACCGCACCGCGC